TCCCTTGATGTGCTCCATGCAGAAGCCCCTCTGGTTCTGGGTATGGTCCCTGGGGCCCTTGTCCCCACGTTAGAGCACAGCACGGCTATTTTAGGAAGAGAAAAACAAAAATCAAGGGGAGGCGAGAATCCAGTGTGGTGGTGGCCAGGCGGCGCGCCCCGTGGTCACCCAAGGCAGGTGGGCCAGGAAGCTGCAAAGTGCCCAGGGGGTGCGGGGTGGGGAGACGGTGGGCAGAGGGGGAGGCAACCCTGCCTTTGTTTGCCTGTTTGCTCCTCTCTGGGGTCCAATATGGCCGGACAGGACTTCTCCTTCCCCGACCTCCCTTCCCGCTGCTTTTTAACTTCTTCCTTTCTGCAGAGCTTTCTGTGTCAGCTCCCTGGCCTCCGAGTCGCCTGCCCCTGAAGGCACTCAGTCCAGCCGCAGTTGGGAGATGCCATCTCTCTCGTGCGTTCTCCCAGGCTGGGTGGGAGGAATCTGAAACCTTCTGGGTGCTCAGGCTGGCACGCCCCCTTCCTCCTCCCTCTGCTGTGCCTGCAGCCACACCTGATAACCGTGAGCTGCCAGTTCTTCCTTCCTTGGCCTCTTCCCCTCGCTACGCTACCCGCAAATTACTCCCTCCTTCCACGACTTCCCAGGGTGAGGTGGGAGGGAGAGAGGGGGCAGGGAGCGGAGTGACCATTGTTGGGAAGAAAGCCCCTCCCCACCGCCAGGCTGCCTGAGTGAGGGCCAGGGACAGTGTGTCGCAGGAACGCTGGCTGGTACAATAGCAGAGGGCATCCTGGGAGAGGGCAGAGGGGCACACAGGGGCTGGGATGTGCGAGTCCTGTCTTGGTGCAGAGCTCAAAATGCCCGAGTGGCAGTGATGATAATAACAAATGAAATAAACACGATGACAATAGTACGTAAACTGGGGGCATCGTCTATGCACACAGGCGGGGGCCACTGGGACCACCTGCTCGGAGACACTGGGACAGTGCAGTCCCCTGGGAAATGGGTCCCTCCTTTACTCTTTGCTGCCTGGAAGGGGCGGGTGGGGCAGGAAAGCCAGGGTCCACCCCTGCCAGCTATGCCTGGCCACCACTCGATGCACCAATGTCAGCCGTGCTTTGTTCTCAAGCCGGGTGAAGGCCCCAGGGACCATGCCCTTGGCAGTGACTGTTCTTCTGGTCCTCGGGGAGCCGGGAGGGCAGAGCTGTGGGGGCACCTGCCTGGCATGATTAGGAGGACTGTCTGTCTCTCTGTCCACCGCTGGCATGGCATGGCTGGAGGCAAAGACGACAGACCAGGAAGATGATTTCAGGAGAGCTGGTGATTTGACCTGACACCTGTCAGATAGGCACTGGCCTCCTGCCAGCGTGCCCCCTGGGGAAGGGCCACCAAGGGCGGAGAACGGCCTAAGAGCTGAGCACAGCTGCTAATGAGCTGGGGAACAGGAGAAGCCTGGGCACCAGCTCCCCGCCTGCCAGGCCCTGGGCAGGGCTGCCCTCTCTCTCCCGATGCTCTCAGCCACCTCATGGGGCGTCTAGGATTGACCCTGAAAACCACCTACTTCCCTCTCTTGTCAGCACAGTCCTTCAAGTCTGGAACTTTCTGGAATGTTCTCTCTGCCTGTGAGGCATTTGTTATTGATTATTATTTTTCAGTCATCTTCTGGCATATTTGTCCTTAAAGATACATAAAGCCAGTGGCCAGGACCAGGTGTCTTCCCTGACACATGTCCTCAGGAAACCCTTCGCTCACTGGGCGATGTGGAGGAATCTGTTATGGACAGAGCTGTGTCCCCACAACATTCAAATATTCAAACCCACCCCCAGGACCTCAAGATGTGACTGTATTTGGAGAGAGGGTCTTTAAAGAGGGGATTAGGTCAAACGGGACCATATGGATGGGCCCTGATCCAATCTGACTGGTGTCCTTATAAGAAGAGTTGATTAGAACACAGACACAGAGGGACAACCTTGTAAAGACACAGGGAGGAGACGGCCATCCACAGCCAGGAAGAGAGGCCTCAGAAGAAACCATCCCTGCCGACACCTTGATCTTGGACGCCCAGCCTCCAGGACTGTGAGGAAACAAATTTTTATTGCTTAAGCTGCCCAGTCTCGGGCCCTTTGTTATGGCAGCTGGAGCTGACTAATACAGAATCTGTTGGAAAACAATGAATCCAAAATGTATGTCCCTAAAAACATCTGCTAGGAGGGGAAACGCTTCTTGGGAATGTCCGTCTGGGAACACCATCAGGATATTTTCACAACTCGTCTTCATACTCCAGCCGAGCCCCCCGCCCAACACACTCCACCTGCACAGCGTTTTCTTAAAGCGTGCTCTTCTACAAAGGTATTTACACAACAGATCAACATTTAAACACACGTTTAAAGGGCAATTATGACTCTGTTCACCTGTCAGAGTGGGATGGTTTTGCTCCTGTGTTTCCAGCTGGTTGGATAAATAATCAGCTTGCATGGGTTTCTTAAACCTGCCCCCACGATAATTATGTATTTACCTTTATGATAATGTCACATCACTCTCATTTTTTAGCGACTGATGGGGATGAAGTTGTTCCAGTAAAAGATAGAGGGACCAAGGGGCCCAAAATGCCGGCCTGTGACCTGAGGTCTTAGGAGCCTCGAGGAAACGCCACAGCCAAAGAATCCAGGTTGTGGGTCCCGCGGTGCAAACAGCTGCATCGCGTTAACGTAATTTGATTCCCCGGGGGAATGCTTTCAGTCTCCTCTGCTCCAGCACCCAGTCTTCTGTGCTTGGGTTTGGTGCTGGCCACACCTCACTACTGCCCTGTGGGGGTCTGGACAAGGGCCAGCCCCCCACTGCCACCCCAGTAGAAGTCAGGCAGCTCTGCCCCCTAAAACCTGCGGCTTTTGGGCTTTGGGAAGGAAGTGACATTGAGGGGTGGAAACCCAGGGGTTCCTGCCACTCGACTCGCCCACCTGCCCTTACTTGCCCTGGTGGTGCTCAGACCATCAGAGAGAAGGCTTTCCTGCACAGGCTGTCCCGCAGGCTGACTGTCAGAGCCATGCAGAATCCCAGGCACCCTCCACCCCCGCCCCCAGCCTGCTAATCAGGACCGCCAAGGTGGGGCCAGGGTGCTGCTGCTTCTAAATGCTGCTCTGGTGACTGACAGCAGCTGTGGTGACTAGGGAAGGCGGAGGGAGAGCCAGGTGGGGGAGAGGACACCCATGCCCAGCCTTGCCTGAGACCCACCCCACAGATGCCCTGCTGGCTGGGCTGGCTGGGAAGGCGGGGGAGGGAAGTCTGATCTTCCTGGGGAGCCCAGGGCTCCAGCACGGCTCTGTCCCCACCCCATTGCTCCTCTTTAGGGTCTGAACCAAGCAGCCAGGACCAGCAGCGCCCAGAGGGCTGAGGCCTGCAGGAGCCCTTGGTGGCCTCTGTGGGAAGCCGGGAGGGGGTGCCCTTGCCTGGAGATGCTGCTCCCTTCCCCCATGGGACGAAGGCCATGCGGCTGAGTGGGGGCTGTGTGTCACGTGGGGCGTGGGGGTGGCAGCCCCTCAAACACCCATCCTTGGCTTCTAGCATAATGTGGGGGTGTCCTATCACAGAGGTCCTTTCTGCTGTGTACGGTGTCTTTGCATTAGCCACTTGAGGGGAAAATTTAATTTGTAATAAATCTGAATTACAGTGGAAATTCGACTGCTCTAGTGGCTATGAAAATTAATTCCTTATCCTAAACATTATTATATAGCATTTAAAATGAATTGACTTGAGGTTGGGTGCCTGGTTTAGGTCGTTATTAGTAATTAGTGTAATCAGAAAGCATCGGTAGTATTTTCCTCCTTGCCTCAGCCCTCCCTCCACCGGCCTCACCCCTGTGCCTGGTGGGGAACGGGGTCCCATCAAGTAATCTGACTTGTAAATGGGACATGACAGGTGGAAACGGCCCGCTGACTGGTGGCTAAGAAAGGTGCTTTCTTTCTACTCCTGAATGGCCCATTTTGCTCGCTGTTTTTTCTTTTTTCTTTCAAAGTGCTGTGTGCTCTTGGGGCTGGCGAGATCATTTTCCTCTGGAAGGAAGCTGCTGAGTGGATAAGGACCCCGGCATCTGCTCAGGAAGGAGGTGAGGCTCTCACGACCACCTGCAATCGTCCGGAAAACATCGTGTCCGTGTATGTGGAGGGGCATTCATGTTCTCCTGAGGAAGGGAGTCAGTAGATTTTCATAGATGCCAGGCCCCAAACAAAAGTAGCTAATATTTATTGAGAAGCCATATAGACCAGACTGGCTGAGGTCCTGAACCTGGCATTCATGGACCTAATGGGGTCTCTGGAGAGAATTCAGGAAGTCCAGGAGCTTGAGTGAAGCAAATTTACATCTTTAGTTTCAGGAAACTTCTACTGAAATGTAGCATTTCCTTCGATGACGAGTGGAACCAATGCACCACCATGGTATTCACAGTGGCGTTTGACCTTGAGCTCCAACTTAGGTGTTCCCGAACGTGCAAACGATTTCCCACAATGCAGTGCCATCGTGCAGGTCTATGGGGGGAGCGGGGAGGTTGATGAGCTGCTTCTTGCTGAATGTGTGAAACAGCTCAGGATCCATGTGCCTTAGCAGGGGTGGGGTCACCCTGGTTAAGTCGCTGGGGTGCCAAGCGAGCCCTCTGTGCTGTGTTCTCTGCCACCTCACTGTCCTGGTTTCACCGTAGTTCTTGGCCAAGCCACAGGATTTGAAGCTTTGTTGCTTTCTCTAAGGACTTGCCTGTCAAGAAGAATTAGCTTGACAGGAAAGGGGAATAAGGACTCAGTGTGAATTTAAGGTAAAAATCTCTGGGATCTGAAGACAGTGGGTGTGACAGCCAGTGAGGGCCTCAGGGACCCCATGGAGACATTCACACAGGTGCTGACCTCTGACCAGGGAACCACCTCCTGGGACCAATTAGAATCTGTCTTTCTGTGTTGGGCTCATTTGCATAAGCTCTGGGCTCCCAGGAAAAATTTTCCAACAGGCCTCCTAGCCTTTTGCTAAAGGAAAAACATGCCTCTTCTTTCTTCAGCTGTCGGCTTATAGGGCTTCCCGAGCAAGGTTTTGCTGGGTCCTCAGACGGTGTCCCCTCCATCGGCTGCACTCTTGGGGGCTCCACCCTCTGCCCCACACACCTCCACTCGCTGGTGAGTATTGAGAGTGTTTCCTCCCAGACTCCAGCACCAAGGACAGGGGCTTACACTGTTGTTTCATCCCGTTGTACAGCCAATGCCGTGCGCACAGTAGGTGTTTTTGACTCAGTGAACGAACTGCTTTCTTGACACAACACCCGGCTACTCCCCTGTGAGCCAGATGTTATACAAGGGCCACTCCCGGGCCATTTAGCAAAAGGCCAGCCTGTCGGTATTTTCTTCAGCTCTTAGCCTGGTTAAATCTCTGCTTGTTTCTGGGCCTGCCCCTTAAGGAGCTTACAGTTGAGCTGCGGAGATAAGATGTAAGTACATGAAAAGATTAGTTTTATTTTTGGAAAGTTAAGCATTGTAAGCCAACATCCCATGAGGCTGTGGGGTTAGGCTGGAGGTAAGATCATTCTTACCCAACTTGGAATCGCTGACGAGCTCCAGGCAGGGCTTAATTCTTCATCCTTTTTGTTATTATTATTTCTAATATTCTGCAGAGATTCTGAGATGCTGAGGTTAGGCTTGGGAGAAAAGCAAATGTCAAAATGTCACGTGATGTGCTGGAGCCAGGGGATGGGAAACAGAGGGTGTGGGAACTTTCAAGATAACGCCAGACGGACAGGCTTTCGGGGGCTCTGTGGGCCGCCTTGGGGTCTGGCTAATACATTCGTTCAGAACACCATTTATGATAAGCCATGTGCACATCCTGGCTCCTGTTTCTTAGCTGACGGTGCTTCTAGCTGCTGGAATTTGTAATATAAATGGCATGCAGGTAACATGGTCTCAGGTGCTGCCTTTGTCCCAGGGAGCTTGGCAGAAGGTGCTAGAACATCTAATGAGCAGCAGAGGCCCCTCCACTCACCCCCAAAGCTGGAGGAGCATGAACACAGCACCTCCGCTGAGGAGGAGAACACGGGATGTCCTTGTGGGAACTTGAAGACACAGCTCATGTGTCCCCAAAGAGTTCTCTTTCATCTCCTTCCTGGGAATCCTAAACATCCAAAGGAACCGAGGCATTTGTGCCAAGCGGCCACAGGGTGGCAGTGTGGACTTACATCCCTGAGCGTGTTCAGTAGCTAAACTGCCCTAAGTTCAATGCTTCTGGAAGCTGGGTTGCAGCCCCACGCAGGCTGAGTTGGAGCGAGAGCCGGGAGGGTTCTGCCTTAATGTAACCGACCCCTGCACTGAGCTGAGCACGTGTCTGCATTCCTCTACAGATGGGGCACCTCCCCATGTTTGGAGGCTTCAAGGTGCTTATTTGCTGGGCTGGGAACACGCTGATAAAAAGTTAATTTCTATTTGCTGTTGCTCAGTAATTGGATGAACATGAAAGCAATTAAATATTAAAACATACAAACAAATAACTAAGTCACTGTAATTAGCCAAAGTTTGATCACTGTCATATTTATTTAAGAAGAGGTGATATGCCTCAGCAGGTGACATTTTAAATACCCTGGGCCTCTCTGGTGGTGTCTTTGGAGAATGCTGAATAATGTACGGAGAATTTAATTAAACCCTGTTGTAAATCAGCTATGATGACAGGGAAGTGACAGCCACATGTTGAAACGAGAATTAGTCCACAGCAAGGGGTGTTAATTAACTCCTTTTCTGAAGGCCTTTGGCACTGAGTGGCATTAAAAAAAAAAAAAAAAGAAAGAAAAGAAAAGCAGCAGCCAGTGCTATGACATGGGGAGGGGACGGTGCCTGTAATTATTTCTGTAATCATCATTATTATTTATGGCTGGAATTTCTTCAATGGCCAAGTGCAGCTAATAATCACACCGTGGTACAATAAGAGTAAACAATTTTTCCCTGGGAGCCATGAGATTCAGGTAGGAAGTAGCAGCATAAAGGATGCCAGGGAACGAGGGTCCCTTTGGAAAACACGGGCATTTTTATAAGCAGCGGATTATTCCCGTCCAGCTTTGGCTCAGGGAGAACATACCGAGAGGTGTTCGTTAGAGGGACGTCACAGACCTCGGAGCTGGGAGAGCCACGCGAACCGTTTGGGCTAACCCTGCGCCCCTCACAGAAGAGGAACCAGAGGCTCAGGGAGGTGTGAGGATTTGCCCAGGGTCACGGGCTTCCCTGGGGCAGAGTCAGGGTGCGGCGTGCCCCCGAGCCCCGCTGCCTCCCCGTCCCGCAGTTGTGAAACGTAAACTGCAGAAGACAGAGAAGTACCTGGAGTGGAAAGATGCCACTGTGGAAGGCTGGGTGATGGAAATGCGTGCCTGTTCCCGATGCTAATGTGTCCACACACAGCAGATGTGTCCACACCCGTGAGGACGGCAGGGGGTCTCTCACACTGGTCTCCCTGGCCTCAGCCCTGGAAAGGAGGCTGGGTGTTTTGGTCATTCTTTGCTCCAGGGGGAACACAAACGCTTGCAAATAGGGTGTGTCTTGCTCCTGTCCCTCTGTGGGGAGGGAGCCTTCATCAGTCAGTGAAGAGCTTGACTCCTCTCTGAGGGCCCGGATCACGGAGACCACCTTGTGTGCCCTGCTGCCTGGCAACTATTACGACCTTCTGGGAGCCATGTCACTCACTCCTTTGGTGGGTTGATGATGGACAACTGTGTCAGCCAATCATGAACTCAAATGAGTGAAATGTCAGTTGCAGTAGAGACTGCCCCATGTGGTCCTGACCCCTCTATAGGTGGATGTATGGCTTCCTGAATGTTGTAAGCATCTGCCTGCGTGTCCCACAGAGATGAGACTCTGGCCATGAAGAGGTTACCAGGACACAGTCCTTACAACCCTCCCCCAGGTCAGAAGTGATTGGTTCAGACAAAAGCCTGGTTTCAGAGAGGAGGCCGCTCTGGCTTCAGTGTTTCAGGTGTGTGTGTGCCTCAGTGTGTCCCCAGATGCTGGGACCCTACCTGTCCTTAGAGGAAGAGTGGCTGGAGGCAGACATGGAAGTTATGCTGACAGCTTTCTTGGCAGAGTCTGAGATGCATTTGTGTTGAGGGGAGGACCACAAATGTTCCACCGGTTTGGTTTGGATGATGTTACCTGGAAGGTCAGGGGCTTATTAGAAGCTGAACTTAATCCCCAGGGGCCTGAAGTCCTGTGTCAGAATCACTGACACAGAGGCCCAGGGCCTTTCTTATCGTGGGGAGCCCGTCGTATGTGGGTCAGCCAGAGCCTCAAACACAAGGCAATAGCATTTTTGCTGCTTCTAAACTGAGTTTGATTGGCAGTTAGAATTAAAGTTCAGGTTACTATTTTTCACCCCAAGTCACAGTACCCTTCAGTGTCCTTCCAGAGCCCAGCTGTTATGTGGTCTTAGGTGAAGGCTTCCTGGGCCTGCGAGGGCTGGAAGGGTGGGAGGGTCCAGCTCTGTGTTCCTCACCCAGTGACCTGCAAAACTCGGCTATGGGGGTGCCAAGAGCTACGCAAGCAAGAAGGGACTCTGGGGTCACATAGGTGCATCTACAAATGCACCTCGCTCAGTAGCATAGTAAAGGCTCTGAGCAGTCCTGCAATGCAGAATCCTGTTCAACTGCTTAACACAGTGAGTCTCACATTTATATGATCATTGAAACACTCCCACCCTCGTTCTTGGTATTGTTTCTAGTGCGCTGTAGCTGGCAGAATAATGGCCCTCCTAATCTCCAGAACTTGTGACGATGTCACCTTGCATGGCCAAAGGGACTTCGAAGGTATGGTTAAGTTAAGGACCTTGGGAGGGAAGATATTTCTGAATTATCCTGCCACCGCATCAAATCATGAGTCCGTAAAAGCAGAGAACTTTTCTTGTCTGTGGTCAGGAAGAGATATGACGGCAGAAGGGTCACAGATATGCAACAATCCTGGCTTTGGAGACGGAAGAGGGGCCAGAAGCCGAGGAATACAGCAGTCTCTCGAAACTGGAAACGGCAAGGAGACGGATTCTCGCCTGGAGCCTCAGAGAGGAGCCAGCCCTGCGACACCTGGATGGTAGTTCGGTGAGACCCAAGTCAGACTTAGAACCGAAGGAATTTGTAAGATAATAAACCCGGGTTATTTTATACCACTCAGTTGGTGACAATTTTTTATAGCAACAATAGAAAATGAACATGCGCACCTGTCACCTGCTCTTACATGTGACCTTGTTCTGGCAATGATGCTTGGCCAGTATAAGCCACTTAAGCAATTAAGTATGATTAGCTGATGATCACCTGGGTACTGGGCACCGTGCGCCAAACCAAGTTGTGTGAGACACTCTTTGCATTTCACTTAGAAAGTCAGGACACACATGTATAGAAGGGACGCAGGGACATTTCTAGGGCATGCTGAGAATGAGTGCTAAGGAGGGACCAGATCTCATCCCCCCCGGAGTGATCTGGGTGGCTTCCTGGAGGAAGGACGTTGGGCCTTGAAGCCTTGGAGGATAACCAGGGTTTGAGGAGAGGCGGGGAGGGGCCTCTGAGCTTGTGCAGTGGGAGGGGCACGCGTGGAGATCTCAGGGGGGCACGGGCAGGGACAGGTAGAGCAAAGGTGTTGGGGGCATGGAAACTGGAGGACCCCAGCCTCTGCCTGCCTCCCTGGGAGAGAAGTGGTGAGGACTCCCACTCAGTCGCTGGGGGGCTTGCTGGGAAGAGGGGGATCAATATTCTGGACAGTTTCCCTCCTGTGGGGCGGGGTGTGAATCTGCTAGAGGAGGCTGAGGCCAGAGGCTCTCAGCTGCCGCAGCTGAGAATGCTTTGGGGTGGGATGGGCTCTCTTCATCTCCCCTCCCCGTGTGAGTCCCGGGGTGGTTGGTATCTAGGAATCCGCCTGGGTTTTCAGGAGACGCTTCTTCCTAGTTCCTTCCTTCCTCTTTGTTTCTGTAAGTTTTCCTGTAACAAGTTTCGGGGTGTAGGGGTGCGTGTGCAACTGCAGAATGGTCAGCCCGTGGAGCTTGGGGCAGGAGGGGAACCACAGGAGCTGGCTCATGCTGGGGGCCAGGAGCATAGGGAGGACGCTGCAGGGGGCGGTGCCCGGGGAGGGGCGCCCCTTTACACCTTGTGTGGGGGGGTGCTGGATCTTCAGCTGCTCACTGGTGATTTGCAGACCCCATCTTGGCTCAAAGAAGAAATGGCCCAGGTGAGTCCCTGGCGGTCATGTCCACGTGATGCCTGTACCAGGGTGGGAATGCAAGCCGGTGCTGGCCAGCAAGGAAGAAACTGGTGGGCTGGTAACCACCAGGCCTCAGCTTGCAAGGCTAACAACCAGTGCAGCATATTGGGGAGCGGGGAGTTCAGGAGAGAGCAGCCTGGATCTTTCTGGCCCTGCCTTACCTAGCAGGATTCACCTGTAGCCTCTACACCTTCCTCCTGGCTGCCACCAACACCTGTGAGCTTGCCCCCCCCCCACCTCGCCCCAGGTGGGCCATCTGAAGCAGGCCCCGCCCACCAGCTCTGGTGTGGGATGAGGCCTTCAACGGGCGAAGCACAGCCCATGTCCACCCTCTGGTTGGGTTAGCATCCTTCCTGAGCTGACTGCTCACCAGGACTGCACCCCTAGCTTCCCTAGGCCTGTGCGATGCCAGTTCCGCCTCCTCAGGTAGCCCTGTCCCCTTCCTGCCTTTTCCTCAGCCTGGCTTGGGGTTCTGGAGTCCCTGATGAAATCGAGACAGCCAACCAGTTTGGAGGCGGAGGAGGTTGGCTGGGCCCAGCGTGTCCGGGAGCTCCGAGGACTGGCCAGGGCTCAGCTCTCGGGGAGAATCAGCTGTGGACCCTGCACCCGCTCCCCTGGAGGTGGTTCTGTCGGGAGGGGTCCAGGCACCTGCCGTTTTAAAAGATCCGCAGTTGATTCTGTGACGGGCGGCCAGGGCTGAGAACCCCAGGGAAGGCTCTGGAAAGAGCTGGCTAGTTCATAAACGGGGAGATTTCTCTGGAACCTGCCCTGTGGGAGTACAGTTTGGGGAGCACAGATTTCAGACTCAGACGCATCTGGGCTTGGGTGTGGGCTCTCCCCTAACTGATGATGTCACTTCAGATCAGTGACTTCACCTCCAAGGGCCTCAGGGTTTTATCAGTAAAATGGAAATAATTCATCAGGTAACAGAGCCTGCCTGGGCCAGCTCGATGAAGCTAGAAGGGTGTCGCTCGTGAGAATGGGAGGCTCCCTGGAGCCTCAGGCGACAGCCCAGTGCAGCAGGTCGCCGACCTCTCATCTCCACGTGTCTCTGCAGGTGACCATCCTCTGCCTCTTGAGGTAGATGCACGGACCTCTGTGGTGTCAAGTTCCAGTTCACAGCTAGGACCCCTGTCCATCCATTTGGCATTCTGTCTGTCGGCTCCTGGGACCTCACTGTTACCCAGGGTTGCGGGGGCCACGCAACTCTTCTGAATATCAGACATACTAAGAGCTAATCACCTTCTCCCGGGGGCCGGTGCGTTCATTTCATAAAAGCAGATGCCTGTGTTTGCAGAGTAGACAGGACAGGAGAGGGCTGGGCCTCCCCTCTGCCCTCTCTCCTGGTGCCTGCACCCCCTGCATCCTGGGGCGGGGGCGTCTACTACTCTAATTGGAAGCAAGAAGGCCTCTTCCCAAGGCTCTGGGCTTTGCAGACCTTTCCTTAAACAAACAGGAGAATTTATTTGTCTTCGGTCAAACTACACGGAGGCCAAAGGGCTGGTGACCCCTTTTAGTTTGGAGTGAAGGGGTCACTAGGTTATTTGCTCTTGAGCTGGATAATCGGGTGGCGGGGGGGTGGGTGGTGGGGGGACTGGCTCGTGGTAGACCTCAGCTCTGCCAGTTCTGCTCACGTAATCGAGATGGAGTAGACAGCCCGTGACCAGCTGCTAAGCGGCACCTGGCGCCACTAAGGTGGCCTCCACCTGTTCCCTCCCAACTCACCGCTCAGCTTACGTCTCTCTTTGAAGTCCCACCCCTTTGCCTCTGCTTGACAACCCCCACCCTCATCTTTTCCTCTAAGCTGTTACCTGTCCTGGGCCCTCAGAGAGTCTTCCTCAGCCCGATGGGCGACCCACAAGGACGTTGGCACACGGAGGTGCCCCTCCTCTCCTGCTCGGCTCCCAATGGGTGGCACACACCTCCACGGCAGGAAATGCCAGGGAAGGTGGGTGGCGATGCTTTAGAACATCAGGCCCCCGTCTTCAAACGAAGGGCTCCCACCTGCCATCCGCATTTCTATATGTTAGAAAGAAAGGCTGTGGGGTTGTCGAGAAAGTCCAAACAGCACAACTGTGGAATCAGTCATTTTGAAAATAACCTAAGTATTACCAATAGTCATTATTCGACTTTGCATGAGCACCCTGACTTGCTCACCTGCCACATTTGTTGATGACAATTAATGTTATACTGCTGTTACAAACGGGTATTTTCGCGAGATCAAGCTGATCAACTGTAGTTTTTTTCATTCGGGGTTATTGGGGTGTCCTCTGCTCACAGTAAAATGTACCCTTGTTCATGGACAGCCCTCTGAGCTTCGATGAACGCACAGTCTGCAACCAGCACCGCAACCAAGGTGTGTCACGGTTCCTTCCCACCAGAACATTCCCTCAGGTTTCTTTGTAGTTAACCTCCTGCCCTTGGTCCCTGGAAACTAATTATCTGTTATCTTTCCCTGTAGTTTTGCCTTTTCTAGAATGTCCTGCATACAGTATATAGGAATCATGCGGTGTATGGCCTTTTGATCCTGGCTTCTTTCACATAACATGGGCATTTGAGCGTCATCCATGTTGTGTGTATCCGTGAGTTGGTCCTTTTTATTGCTGAGTAGCGTTCCTCTGTATGCATGCACCACTGTCTCTTATATCCCTTATCAGTTGAAGGACTTTTGGGGTGTTTCCAGTTTTTTACAATGATGCATAAGGTTGCTATAAACACTCACACGCAGGTTTTTGTGGGAGCACGTGTTTCCAGTATGGATTGCTGCATCATACAGTAAATGTGTGCTTAACTTTATAAGAAACTTCCAAAACTGTCTTCCAATGCAGCTGTATCATTTTGTATTCCCACTGGCAGTGCGTGAGAGTTCCACATCCTCGTCAACACTTGCTATTGTCAGATTTTAAAAATTGTAGCCGTTCTATCTGTGTTGTGGTGTCTCATTGAGGTGTTTTTTTTTTCATTGAGGTTTTAACTTAACATCTCCCTAGTAACTAATGATGTTGAACATCTTTCTGGGTGTTGGTTAGCCACCTGTATATCTTCTCTAGTGACGTCTTTTCAAATCTTTTGCCCCCTTTAAAAATTTAGTTGTTTGTTTTCATATTTTTATGTTTTGAGAGTTCTTTAAATAACCTGGACACGAGTCCTTGAACAGATATGGATTTTGCGGATATTTGCTCCCGGGCTGAGGCTTGTCTGTTCGTTTTCTAAACAATGTCTTTCAAAGAAGGGAAGTTTTTCGTTCTGAAGAAGTCCAGTCCATCATATCTTTCTTTTATGGATTGTGGTTTTTGGTTTTTGTTTGGTTTTTTTTTTTTTAGATTTTTTTAATTGGGGAACTGGGGGATGGGAACAGTGCTGGGGAATTGGGGGAAGAGGAACAGACAAGTTGCTGTCCTTTTGTTCTTCAGTCTAGTTGTGGAGGACGTTGCTTCA